CCCCCCCCCCACCTGGTCCGGATCCACCGGGGCCCCCCAAGCCTCCCGTGGAGGCTCGCCCCCTAGCCGAAGACACCGATGGGCTGGCGCTGCGGGGACGGGCGCGGCCCTGCGACAGCTTGGTAGCCGCGAGCAGCCTCGAGGAAGGGTCTACGGCGGCCACGACAACGGGTGCGGGTGCGGGTGCGGGTGCGGCGTCTGCCGGTCCCGGTGCTGCTGCTGCTGCTGCTGCTGCTGCTGGGGCCGCTGCCGTAGGGTTCGTTCAGCACGAAAGATGCAAACCAAGCAGGGGTCGTTTGTAGTGACGGGAAGGACGGGAGGGACGAAGAGAGCGGGGGCGGAGGAAGAGATGGAGGGAGAGATGGAGGGAGAGAGAAAGAGAGAGAGAGAGAGAGAGAGAGAGAGAGAGAGAGAGAGANGAGAGAGAGAGAGAAAGAGAGAGAGAGAGAGAGAGAGAGAGAGAGAGAGAGAGAGAGAAAGTGCATACGGAGGATGATGAGTTGGGGCCCACGCACTACAGCAACTTTGATTTGAGTCAACTAGTCGAATATATCTCCTATCGTCTCGAGACTTCCCACTCCAGGTCCTACTCCCTCCAGCACTCACTCCTCAAGGACAAGCAAAAAAACACCGTGGTAATTCTCAATGTTTCTTCGCCATAGTCCACGTGAGAACTCCTTCTTTTCTTGTCCGCCTCTTCCTGGCGTCCCGTATCACTCTACAATTGTAACCCTCATTCCCCATTGTGAGTGCTCGTCTTGTTGAGCATACCAAGCTCAACCATGTCCAGTACATCAGTCTCGCCTTTCGCGCCGGTAGTACGCATACGATGTCAATGCCTTTCACATTGCTGGTTCGAAAAGTGTCATACTGGAGTGCACGATTTTCAGCCTAAAGGTGGAGAGCGCAAAGACAGTCGTGAGCACACACACAAAAAGGGAAAGGATGGAGCTGCTCACAACTCTTGTGGTTCATAATTGAAGGCAATTAGATGAGTAACGGTGGAAAAGATAAACACAAGGATTCAAGTCCTTTGAGGACGAAACATTGCCCCCTAACCCTTCTCCAGACTTTACTTAATATACGCTCCTTTTACACATCCACGTCAACCGAACTACACAAAGAAAAGCCTCACCCGCAGAAGCAGCGCCCCCGGCGCTGGTGTCCGCACCCCTCCCCCGGCTGACCCCACCCACGCTCGGCCTCTCCCGCCCGACCCTGTCCCTTCCGCGCGAAGACGCCCTCTTCACTGGCACCGCCGCGACCGGCGCGGCTGTAGCCTTTGCCGCCGCTTTCTCCTTCGCCGCCTCGACCGCCGCCGTCCGCTTCGCCGCCGCCGCAGCAGCAGCAGCAGCAGCGCTACCGCTACCGTCAATGCGGGACCCGAAGGCCATGGAGTGCCGGCGCTGCGTGGCGGAAGGAGACGGAGGCCTCAACGCGCTGCCGCGCGAGGGGGAAGGCGGCCGCACGCCGCTGCTGCTGCTGCTGCCGCGTGAAGGAGAAGGGGGCCGCACGCTGCCGCGCGCGGGAGAAGGGGGCCGTAGGTTGCTGCGCGAGGGCGAAGGCGGGCGAAGTTTGCTGCTGCTGCTGCTGCTGCCGCTGCTGCTGCCGCGACGCGCGGAGACGGAGGCCGGGACCGCCACGCGCGAGATAGTCACGCGGGCGTTCTTCATACCACCACCGCCGCCACCGCAGGCGGGCTTTGCCTCGGCACCACCACCGAAGGCTTGCTTGCTGGGCACAGCAGCGGGCGCATTCCCTTTTCTCGCATCGTCGCCGTTCCTCTTATCGCCGCCGCTCTCTCCTCCAGCGACCTCGGGCTCTTCGTTTCCGCCCTCGCGCTCGGCCCCAGCGGCCTTCTTATCCGTTCCGGCAGCCGCCGCCTCCGCCGTTTTAGGCGCCTTGTTCAGGGCCTCCTGCTGGGCAACACACGCCGCCGCCAGCGCCATGGCCTCCTTCTCCACGGCGGAAACCATCACCGCCGCGCCGCCCTTACCGTTGTCGGCAGCAGCAGTCGTAGGACCCGCTCCTGCGCCCGGGGGGGGTGCAACCGCCCTGCTAGCGCCACCGAGACCGCCACCAGTAGCGGCCACAAGCATCTCGTCCAGGATGACGCTGCTCTCAGCGTCAACGCTACCTCCGGCGCCGCCATCGACACCGCCCTCCGTGTCAACAGCAGCAGGCGGAGCAGGCAGCTGCTGCTGCTGCTGCTGCTGCTGCTGCTGCTGCTGCTGCTGGCCGGGGAGGGTTTCCTCCACCTTGGGGAGCGTCGTCAGCGTCATCTCCGCCACCTGCGCCCCTACGCCGGCACCGGCGGCGAACTCCGTCGCCATGAAGTCATCGTCCCGGTCGTCGCTGCTCGCCCCGAAAGTCGAGCTCGTAGACAGGCCGCCGCCCAGCTTACCCCGCGCCCCGTACGGCGACACCTCCGCAGACGGCGCCGCCTCCGCCGCCGCCGCGTCTTTCGGGGAAAACGAGGCCCTCTTGCCGGAGGCGGCGGCAGCGGCGGAGGGGGTACCGTCAGCAGCGGTCGCCGACGATCGCGGAGCCACGGCGGGGGACGGAGGCTCTAAACACTGCTTCTGCGCTAGAGCGGCCGTGAAAGCGGGAGCGGTACCTTCGTCGGTGATAGGCGAAGACGTCGATTCTCCAACGGTGAGATCGGCGTCAGCGGCATCCCTTTCCGGGGGGGTGACATCATCGCCGTCCATACCAGAGGCGTTCGCACCAGGCGGGGACAAGGTCGTAGCATCCCCGGCAAGCTCCAAGCCCGCCACGCGCTCCTGCACGGAAGACAAGTTCAAGTCCAAGCTCGGCGTCATCGACAGGTCGCCCGCCTTACCCCCCGCGTCTGCTGGAGATGTCGAGTCAGAGTCGCCCGCCATGCTGTCGTCTACGTTCGCTCCCGAGAACAGGTGAACGCCCCTCATTGCGCTCCCGGGATCACCGGCACTGCTGCCATCGATAGAGCCCATAATAGCGGTGCTGGCAGATGATACGTGAATGGGTTGGGGAGCGATCGACATACACAGGAGACAGGTTCTGAATACCCGCGTGAGAGCTAACGGAAAATAGTTCAAGCAATCATAGAAGCCAGTCGTCACGAACAATTAAAAAACCGAAATGCCGATGAAAGACGGGTACTTACAGTAGACACCACCACCTAAAAGGGGGCAACGTATGGCGGTAGCCTTCGTCCGGCCGACTGCTTCGAAATAACCCAAAAACAACAGCAGATGCAAGACGACATCGAGAGACGCGAACAACAGCGGTGATGCTAAATCACCTTCTTCGGCGACCGACTACCGGAAGAGGCGGAGATGTGGGATCCACCTAAATCTGTACACCAATTGTCAAAAGCTCAAATTGCTTCACAAACAAGATTGTGCCAACACACAAAAAAAAAATGCGGCTATGGAAACATCTCGTCGAGGGGTTCCCGTAAAAAGTGCCGGGCTCTTTCCGTACCCCGCTTCGTTGTGGGAGCAATGAGGCTTGAAAGGTCCGTCTAAAGAGGTGGTGACTATCTCTCCGCTTCTTCCAGCACTGAGGTACACAAGAGCTGCGACGACGCATGAAGCAGAGAGCTCGAAAAATTCTCACCAGAAGGAGGCGTTTGCGTCGTCCCCGTCCCCGCGCGCGGTCCCGGGCGTGAACGCCCGCTCCGGAAACGCCTGCCTCTGCCCGCCACCGCGCCGGCCGCTGTACGGGGTGAGGCCGCCGGTGCCCGCCCCACCTCCCGGCGCCAGCCCAACCCGATGACCCTTCACACCGTTGATGGCTCTGCCTCCGGCGCCGGCGCTGCTGCCGGCGGCGGCCTGGGAGGCTAGGCGAGGCGAACGGCGAACCCCTTGCCACGCCACCGCAGCAGGCGTGGTGGGGGAGGGATCCTCCGCCCCCAGCATGTCCGCGAAGCTCTCGTCGCCTGCGGTCGGAGGTGCTACCAGGGCGCCGCCTGGGGTGGGCGGCATGCCCGCCAGCATGTCGAACGACTCCTCGCCCTCCTCGGCGGCGCCGCTCGTGTTGTTGCTCACGTCGTTCATGTTGATGTCGTGGCTCGATTCAAGCTCGCTGGCGGAGGTGTTCCCGGCCTTCCCCGATTGTATTTTTGGTTTGGGACAGACCGGGGGAACGAAACCAGCAAGCAAGACGGCAAACGGGAAGGACATGTAGCGGCACACGAAAGGGTGAGGTTTGTTGGTGAGGTACAGCAAAGGACTAGTGCTGTAGTACACGAGAAGTTGTTGACAAGCGACGGCCTCGGTCCCACCAATATTAGATACCGGTTTACCCCCTCTCTGCCCACTCCAGTACGTCCATCAACACCGCTAGCAGCCGAGGGTTCGCACGTACGGCAAATCCCCAACCTCCTCTCATACACAAAACGAGACGTGCGACATGCGCACGCCTAACGGCGGCGCGCGAACTTTGTTTCGGCATAAGGTCCACGGGGCTTGCCTTGCCTTCGAAAGCAAGTCCCCCCCTGGATCGGTGCTCCGGACCGAGCAGTAACGAACGAAATATACAGCGTTTTCAACAACCCAAAGATTTAGGATCATTACGGGCGTCTCGCGATGTAGTGCGGCTGCCTCCTCGACTGCGTCTCGAAACCGGGAGGCGTTCTTACGGCTGTTGGTGCTCTCGTTTCTGAAAGCACGGCCCATGAGCCCTCTCCCAACAGCAACTTCGCGCGCCGCCGTACGCACACGACACACCCGTATTTTATTTACATGCCAAAGAGCTCACGACCCTCAGCTAGCGAGGGAGGCAGCGGTGCAACCATCTACTGCTGCTGAAAGCGCTCCACATACCCCCACAAGACCACCATGCGTCTTCAGCACACCTGCACAGCAGTAGTTGCTGATACACCACCGTCCAAGCCTCGAGGCGGCGGCAGCAGAGGGTCGGGGCTGCCTCTCTCCGATTTGGAGCGCGAATCAGCCGGCGAGGTGGATGCGGTCACAGCAGCACCAGCGGAAGCACACACGGAGGAAGGCTGATCTGCTTGCCACAAGAGGATGAAGCAGAGGGACAAGACAAAAGGGCAGACAACCGGTGGTCTTTCTGATGAGATTATGTGTGCATTCTAATAAACAAGGGCAGACAGACAACGAGGTCGCTAATGGGAAAGGAAAGGCGTTTTTGCCCGCGGAGGTCCGTGAGCATCGGTCTGACCAGCAGGGGGCGGCGGTCCAAAGGGCTAGGCAAGTAGGAGTTAGGTGTTTCATCATCATCTCTCCGTGTACAACGGATCTACAGCAGTACCGCCGTGGATCTTGCTATTAGTGGTGGTCCGGAAAACAATCAGTCGGTCCTTTACCCGATCAACGAGAGGGCAAACACATGCACCAGCTCGTGCATGAGGGACCAACGCCACGGGAGAAGAATTGCATACAGCGTACACCCTCTACCTAGGAGGCCAGAACGATTCGTCGCCACTCACGCAAGCGTCGTGCATGGCGATCAATCACTCACCTTTCGGATTGTCCGCACCAGCAGAGCCAAATCCCAATCCTCTCCTTCCCGCCCCGGCAACCACAGCCTGCTGCGCTGCTTCGCAGTTGATCTACGCCCGCCGGGCAAGGGGCGATGGTTGGGAACCTCTAGATCCACCAGCAGGGCACGATAACTGCTGTCGCGATTCAAGGCCAGCAGCGGTTGGTTGGGGGGTGGAGAGGCGGGGGTAAATATGTGCGAGCTTGCTTGTGTGTGAGGGTCGCGCGCGCGTTGGCAAGTGTCAACCCACGACACTTGATATGCCGTTTGAAAATGGTCCCCGCCGCCGGGGAAAAAAGATGTGGTAATCCGCGCGTGCGAAACAATTCGCTTTCTGCGGTACGACAGGCGTCGCGGTCACGCATCCTGCTGACAAGGAGTCCGCTACTTCTGGTCCTTCGACCTGTCGATCTCACCTTGGGCTGCGTGCGAGGTGTGTGAATGTAACAGCCGTTGTGGTTGTTGCAAAGCACGCAAAAAAGGGGTTGCGCGGATAGCTCTTTCCTATTTCATAAGCATATGTACAAAAATCACGAGTACCAAATGCGAGGCCCCCTGTAGCAGAGGATCTGCTTTCGGAACCATGCCCAATAGCGCAGCAGTACACAGACAGCAGAGTGTAGGGGGCACCAGCCAGAGCACACCAGGACGAGACGACATAGATGGACACTTCATCCGTGACGATGACTGCTGTCGTTGCTGAGACAGATGGTGGTGGTGGCCCAAGCGATGCCGGAGCCCAACAGCACCAGCACCAGCACCAGGATGAAGTCACACCAGCAGAGGCAGCAGCAGCAGCAGAGGCGACCAGCAGCGAAGGTGGCGGCAGCGGCGGGAGCACCCTCGTTGCCGAACAGGGAAATATCGGCGTGGAGGACGAAGACTTTTGTTACCTTGACATCGAGACCGCGGCAGAGACGGACGGTGGTGACACCACCTCAGGAAAGGAAGGTTAGTGACAGCGGCGCAACTCTCATGTCAACTGCAACCTTTTTACTGCTGTAAACTGAGCGCTCTCCCCGTGGACGTTGAAGCTTTCGGGAACATAGACTACTATTAGGCCTGGGTGTGGAAGGGGTGGAAATCGATATGCGGGATGTGCTGAGTCACACCTGTTCGGTGGTGTTCTTGTGTGTGGCGGGGTCAAATCTCTCTCGGAGATGGTCCCCCACCCATGCTGTAGCGAGGTCGCGAACTACTCAATAGGGCGAGACTTGCCACAACAGGACACATGCTGCTGTAGCTCAGGGGCTCCTCTTACAACAGCATGAGCACGTGTGTGGATGAAATGACCAAACAAGTGTAAGTTGCGTTTCACCTCAAGCTCGTACAGGCGCAAAATGGCCCCATTTCCGTGCGCTTAGGCTCCTAGACACAGCACGCTGCATGTCAGCGCAGGCACATTGCGGACTACATACCGACGGGCTGGCTCACCGTTTGCTTTGAGTAAAAGGGGCAGCAGAACGCCCGTTCGGATTCCCTACGCTGCTGGCCTGCCCTTGCCCCTTGTTTAACGTGGTTTGCCAGGAATATATATATGTCCCAGTTGGTTACAGCCGATTTACTGCCACACTTGAGGGTACACTGAGTTGCGTTTTTAGTTTTAGCAGGAGCTCCAGGGGTATCCCGGCTCACGAGCAATTCCCGACGCCTATCTAAATAGACAGAGAAATCCCACACTAGTTTTGTGTGCTTTCGATGTCAACAAACAATTCTCCAGCCAAAACGCGCAAGTGACGCAAGTACTTCAACTTTTAATTTTGTCTAGCTTCGTACACATGCATCTGATACACATGTTAAAATGGGGCGAGAATGGTGCGGACCTTGTCCTCGTGCTCCGCTCCCACCCGGCTGGCCATGTTGCTGCTCTTCCTTCTTTTTACCTTCGTCGTTCCCACATAACACGTCACTTCCTACGAGCCAACAATACATTCCCAACCACACTACATCTCGCCCGTGCGGCGCTTTTTGTGCGAACATCGCTTTTTCTCGATGCTTTCGAAATTTGTCATTATTATGTTATTATTTTGCGTACCCCCTTTGCTCGCCAAGGGGGGGGG